GCCAGGCGAGCGAAGGGATCCCTGTTTGCAAACTCTGGCTTCAGTCGGAGGGCACCCTTGGGTCCGAGAGCGATGTTCTTGCTGCAGGCGGCGTGCCGCCTGACGTTGGCCCGGGTCAGCGCCATGTTGACCTTGGACATCTCGCTCTGTCCGTAGCCCAAGAACTCGCGGCACATGTCCTTGATGGCGCCCCACGGAGTGCCTTCCTGGTACACCTCCACGACGTCGCAGCAGCTCTCGATGAAGTCCGTGGCGCAGCGCTGGGCGCCGCCCTTGGCCAGCTCAGCCTGCACGTCCCGCATCTCCGCGGGCATTGGGATCAACATCGTGCCGGGATTGAATCGCTCCTTGAGGGAGCCGTAGAGCCCCATGGCAAAGTACAAGAGCTCGGCATTGAAGGCCCCACTCTGGATCCGGGCCTTGAGGCCATCGTCACCCTTCCTCTCGGCAGGACCCGTAGGGTTCGCGACGAACCGGTGCTGGGTCTCCCACACTCTCGCCCTCCTGGTCCATCCATCGTCCTCGGAGTTCTGCACGCGAGGAGCGTGGTTGGAGGTACAGAAGAGAAGCCCCTGCGGGCGCCAGCTGCGGGGGCCTCGGTTCAAAGCCCTGCCGGAAATCGGAGCCCCTTGCTGCTCGCAGAAAGCTTTCATGAACTCCTCGTTGAGGTTGTCGTGGGAGGGAATCTCCGATGCCCACACCCCTCTTCCCTGCGAGCTGGTCCTGGAAGGGAGTCGCCGCGTTGGCCTCGGCGGAGCGGCAGGCCGTGACGAAGCGGCCGGGCAGGATCGCACCGTAGTTGAAGGCCTCGTGCCCCAGGAAGGTCAGCAGGGGGAGGAAGATCACGTCCTTGCCGCTGCTGCCACAGCCGTACATGTAGAGCAGCTCACAGATGCGGGCGTAGCCACTGAGAGCCCGGGCGTGCAGGCGCAGCAAGTAGAGGACCTGGTCCCAGCTATCCGCTGTGCTGGAGGAGGGACTCCAGTTCCGCGATGACCCGGCGGCCCTCCTCGCTCTCCTCCAGCTCGTTGGCGCCCGTCTCCAGGAAGGCCTCGACATGCTGGAAGAAGGCGGTGTCGATGGGAGGCCGCCACTTTTTCGACCCGGCAGCCGCTCTCAGGCTCATCCTGTCGCGGGGGAGGGCCCGTCGGATCTCGCCGGTCTCAAAGTCGGCAATGATGCCGTCGGCGAGGAGCATCTTGCCGCGGCTGTGGTCCCCGTTCAGCGGCTTGAAGGTGCGGCCACTCAGTCCACCCAGCACCGCCTGAGTCAAGGAGGTCGCGAAGCCGATGTCGTTTAGGGGCTCGGGCGGAGTCTCCATGCTGCCGTAGAGCCGCTTCAGGCAGCTCCGGATCAAGTAGCCCAAGTGATCCTTCTTGGCCTCCACCCACGCACCGTCCGGGCCGAAGTACTCGTAGGTGTCCGCCCTCTCGTGCGGCTGGTTCGGCACGTAGATGATCGGCTCCAGCATGGCCACGAGGAGATCCGCAAAGTCCCCGTTGTTGGCGCGCGCCCGGCCGCGGGCGACGTTCTCCTTGCAGCGCTGCCGCAGCTTCTGGTAGTCGCCGTAGGGCAGCCGAGCCTCAAGCCGCCAGTCAAACTGCGGGTGCAAAGCGGCGGCTGTCTCCACGGCGTCGGGGACCGGCTTCGCGGTGACCTGGACCCCAAGGTCGGCCGCAGCCTTCAGGACGCGGTCTCGGGCTTCAGGAAAGACGCTGACGCCGTCGTGCTCCGGGGCCAGCAAGGATGTGCCTGCGGCGGTCACCATGGCATCGAGGACCTTGCGCTCCCAGTCCGCGTAGGCGAAGAAGGCGGCACGGCCGCCGCTGCTCCCCTTCAGCGACGTGCGGGTGGCCTCAGGCAGTCGCCGCCAAACGAGCCGGTGCGCCCGGCGGACCTCATTCTCCAAGCCCTGGATGCTCTTGGTCTCCGCGAGGTCCGTCTCATCCAAGACGGCGCCAAGCTCACGGGAGCACCAGTTGGCGAAGCAGCCGCCGAAGCCGATGCCGATGAGCAGGCGCTTTGTGTCACTGCGGTCGATGGTCGCCTTGGCACCCTGGGACTCCTGCCACGTCCGGAATGCCTGCGTGAGGCGCTCCAGCCAGGCATCGCGGTTGCAGACGTAGTCGCGGATCAAGGGGGCCTCCTCAGCAGCCAGGACGTCCTTGACGAGGAACTGGAAGTAGCTGTTGGCCACATCCACCTCCAGAGCTCCGAGGCCCTGGCGGGCCATGCAACGGGTGAGCCTGCTGAAGCTGAAAGCGCTCCGCCCCACGAAGCGCTCCGGCACGTTGGCACCAAGCTCGCGCTGCAACTCCACCGGGAGCTTATCGATGGCCTCGTCCCTCTTCGCGACCGCTTCCTTCAGCTCCTCCTGGTCCTTCTTGCGCTTCCCGTTTGACTCCGGCACCTGAGGGAGCAGAGGCGGGCTCGGATGCCTGGCGGTCCTCTGCCCTGTCGCTGCAGCACTGGCACATAGCCCACCTTGCCGCAGATCCTGGTGGCTCTCTGCCGAAGCCAGTACAGCTCCTCGAAGAGGTCCAAGGCGTCTGCGCGACGCACGGCGTCCAGGGCCAAGGCGCGATCCAGTCCTGCCACGGACACGGGCTCCCAGTGGAGTCTGCAGCGCCCGAAGTCCAAATCCGCAGGAGCTGACTGGAACGGGCAGTCGTCGTGCATGTCGGGGTCCTGCCGACACAAAAACGAAGCTGACCCCCGGCGGCAGGCTAAAGGAACGGGCCTCGCGGTCCACGAAGCCATCATCCTGCCAGGGTCAACCCGTCAACCCTGCAAAAAAAGGATGAGACTTGCGCCGGCCTCCTGCTGTGCTGTCGACGGAGGCGGAGTGCGCGATGACGAAGAGCCGGCAGCCTGGCGGGACATCAAACCCATCAAAACGTCAAAGGGGATTCCGAGGGGCGCGGCCTCACTCGGTGCAGCGCCTGCACCAGCAGAAGTGGGCTCCTGACGACATTTAGACCCATTTGATGTTTTTGATGCCTTTGATCCCCCCGGCCTCCCCCTCTGAGGAAACTTCTGTAGGCCCGGGAGCCTGGCATCACAAAGCGCTGAAGTGCTTCCAGAAGTTCCGTGACAGCAGGCCTCAGTCGGTGCAGCTTTGGCTGCTGGAGCCGACGCCGCCGCCGCGGCCCGCTTGGCCTTTACCGCCTTGATGTACTTGTCCAAGCCTATGCCAGACGCCACGGCAGTCGGTGCCGGCTTGGGTGCAGCCTTCGGCGCTGCTTGCGACAGGGCGCGATGTAGGGCGCCCCTCCAAGTCGCTCCTCGGGCCCCTGCGAACGGACTCCGCCGACACGGCAGTCGCCTGGGCCTCCATCTCCTTGAGTGCCCGGAATGCTTCGGCAGCTCGCGGATGGCGGCACTTGTCCGGGTGCACAAGGAGCATCATCCGTTTGAGGCATGCCTTCGCGTCCCCTTGGAAGACCCGGCACCCGAGCTTCTCTGCATGTCCATGCGCGGGGCTCAGCGCAAGCTGAACTGCCAACGCTTGCGCCTCCTCAGTCATGGCGCTGCTACCCCTGCAAATGCTCAACCGCTCGGCACGAAAGTAGCTGCGAACGTCCAACCATGCCAATCTCAGCCGGCTTCCAAAGGCGACAGAAGGCACCAGGGCTCAGACGATGTGATCTCCGCGAAACGGGCCGAAGACTGCAGACCTGGGCGAGCGAGGAGGGGGAAAGCAGGGCACTCGCAAAGCACAGACAACGGGGAAAGCAGGGCACTCGCAAAGCACAGACAACCCAAACCCACAGAAATCCGAACAAAAACCCTGAACAACCCTCGGCAAGCACTCTAAGGAGCGGCGCGAGGGACGAGGTCCAGGCCTGGGCAGAGCGGGATGTAAGGAGGTTTGGGGCGTTAAGGGACGGGGGAGCGTAGAGAGGGGACTGGGGGCAGGCAAGCAGAAGACGGGGCAGTGAGCCTAAGGTAACCAAAAGGGTTAGGGAAGGGAAACCCGGAACACAGAAACAACCCAAGCAAACTGAGGTCCCGACGCAAGCCCACCCACCCCCCAACCGCCCGGCAGCCCGCTCCTACAAACTTGAACCTGCGAGCGCGGAAAGAAAAACTCAAGCGCAGGGCCGAAGGGGAGGCCTACGGGGTTAGGGTCGCAAACTCACAGACTCACTTGCAGGGCAAACGCGGCACATTTTCCAAAAACTCATTGGCCACTTGTCGTGATCTGGTTAGCTGCGACGAGCCCTCTTCGAAGCAGCCCAAGCATAACCAGCAGCCCTCGCCGCCGCCGTCGCCTCCGCCGTGGGCATGGGCTTCCCCTTGTCCTCCTTCTTCGATCCCTGGGCCTTGGACTTGTCGTCTTTCTTCACGCCCTTGGTCTTGGGCTTGTCGCCCTTCTTCTCGCCCTCGGCCGTTGGTTTGTTGTCCTTCTTCTCGCCTTCGGCCTTGGGTTTCTCCTCCTTCTCGCTGTCGGCCTCTTCTATCATATGCATCAGCACCCGGGCACGAGCTTCCATTGTCTGAAGACGACCCTCCGAACGCCACTGCCTTCTCAAGCCATCGATCTCTACATCGATCGCATCCATAGCTATGTGCTGCTGCCCGGCCCTGCTGCCTAGTGCTGCTGCCTAGCGCCGCTGTGCTGCCGCCTAGTCCCGCTGTGCTGCTGCCTAGATGCTGCGCTGTTGGTGTTGCTAGCTGCTACCTTGGACGGGGCGAGCGCGGCAAACCAAAGTGAGCGCAGGGCCACAAGGGGACGGGGACCTACGGGGTTAGAGTCGCAAACTCACAGGGGGCCGAAGGGGTTTGGGTAACCTCAAAGCAACCCCGCAAAAGCACTCTAGCAAAATATTACTGCAAAAGTCGGCAAATCTAGCTAGAATACCACTACAAAATGAAATCAAAAGGTCTCCCCACAGCGCCCTCGACCAACCGGGCGTAGAGGAGTCGCTCTCTAAGGAACCCGCAGCGACGCGTAAGGCGCAACTACGGGCCCCGGCGATCTCCCCCT